AAGAAGCTAGCATTTTGAGCCATTAAACTAGAAACTCTTGGAAAGAGCAGTCTAGAAATTACTCCCATTTTCCAGAGAAGGTATCCTGTACGATCACTACAACAAATTCTTCTGCTCATATGCAAAACCAGTGTGAATTGCCAGGCCTGTTTCATAATTTAAAACCAGTCACTGAAAAATATCATCTCACCCACAACCATCTCCCCATAAAAGTGGAATAAATAGAAGCCAAAGTAATTATGTACATAGATAAAAGTATTTCCCTAAAGGAAGAACAACAAAGCACCCTTTGCTCAGCAATTCTGGGGACCAATGGATAACTAAGAGGTTCTTCTGGCTTTTCCACAGCCTGAGAAACAGTGAATTATTAAATGTTCATTGACACTCCTGCCTTCAGTATCTCGTTCTGATCTTCCCTTGCTGCACAGATCATCGGAGCATTTCAGTGACTGGTGGAATACACTGGATTTCCCCAACGCCAGGTCCACTCAGCTGGGCAGATAAACTCCTGTATTTATGGAGCCAGACTGATGCTGCAATCTGCTCTGTGCCATACAGAGCCATTTCACTCATACAAACCCATCACTCCAGGATACACCAGAAGCATGAAAGGTGTCAGAGATCCTCTGAGCACCAGGCTGGGTGTTGTGCTTTAACCTGGCAGGCAGATAAAACTCCCCCAGCCACCTCTCCCCCATTGGAATAGGGGAAATAATCACCAAAAAAAGGCAAAACTCATGGTTTCAGATAGGCACAGCTTCACAGGACAGAAAAGGGAAGTGGAAAAAAATATAATAATGATATAAGAATACAAAAAACCAGTGATGCACAATGTTTTTGCTCACTACCTGCTGCCCAGTCACCCTCCAGCCCCCCCAGTTTTATTGTTCAGCATGATGCCATATGGTGTGCAATGTCCCTCTGGCCAGTTTGGGTCAGCTGTCCCAGCTGTGTCCCCTCATGGCTCCCTGTGTCCCCCAGGCTCCTCCCTGGAATGAGGAGCTGAAAAGTCCTTGACTTCAGACGAGCACTGCAAAAACCTCAGTGTTTTATCAACATTATTCTCATTCTAAATCCAACACACGGCACTGTACCAGCTACTGGGAAGAAAATTAACTCTATCCCTGCCTAAACAAGGGTTTTGAGAAGCTGGCTGCTGTTCTCACAGTGGAAATACAGGAAGGAGGAAAGCATATGGCTGTACTCTTGTTGTTTAAACATTCACACTTGCTCCTTCAAAAAACCCCATCTCTCCTGAATTTTTCAAGCTGTTTCACCCAACCACACTGCCACCTTCCCCAAAATGCTTTTATGCTTTTATTTTCTGCTTGCTAAAGGCCTCTCTGTGCTGAGTTGCAAAATAGTGAAGTTTCTTCCTGTTCTCTTTCTTGATTTTTTTTTTTTATTTATTTTTTTTTTTTTTTGTTTTGGTGAAAGACACAAACCCAGTCAGTTTTGCACCTGCAATTCTGGCTGTGCTGCAGACAGAAGTACAGCTGTGGACAGAAGTAGAGCAACACACAGCAGCACAGGCTGGGATTTTGTTTGGAGGCTCTGAGCTGACAGAAGATAATTGGAGTTTTACAATAAAGGTCTTTCCTGAATGATAAACGACCCCTGGTGTGTTCAAAGGATCTGACAGACCTACCTATTTGTTCTGCTCTGCACAGAGAGGGGATAAAATGACCTAGATCAACACAAAAGACGCTACAAAAATCAGATTTTCAATGCATATTCAGCAACTCTAGGCAGCAGGCACACAATGGGTATTTAAACAATAACCCTTGTAAAAACCTTGCTGCCTTGTCATAGGATGCTTTGTTTGCTATTTTTAGCTTTTCAAGTGTCAAGAAGCAACAGAAAACAATATTGCTGAACAGCACTGGACACCAAGATAAAACAAGTGAGGCAAAAAAGAAATCTGAAGCAAGCTCCACAAGATGAGGTTAAGTTATTCAAAGCTCTCTTTCCTGCAAGACAGGTGATGTATTTCAGCTTAAATATCCCACTCGATCTGTTCTCAGTGAACAAGCAAGTGACAAGCTGCCAATCCAGCTGAAAAGCTCCCCATCCATCAGGACTCCTCCCGCCCCTGCCCCGCACCGAGCGCTGCTTTGTCAGCACCTACAGAATCTGAATCTGCCTATTTTTAACAAGAACACCATCCTGCAATCCTGCCCACCAGAAGGATTTGCAAATCTCTCCAAATACTCCTCCCAGGTCCTGATAACTTTGCCAGCATGAATAGGAAACTTGGGGCTTTCAGAACAAGCCACAGCTCGCTGACAAGGCAGGGAAGATTTCCTTTCCTATCTGCAGTTTGCATGAGTAGGCAGCTGGGATTGTGATGAATTACTATCTCTGATTCCAGTGCTAAGTTTAAAACATTTATTTGGCATAGTCTGTTAGAAAAAAAACTCACTGCCAATATCAGCTATTGGTATTAGCAAACTTCTTCAGGAGAACTACCAAAGGTATTTCACAGCCTCTCTCTGCTTATAACAGGAGTGTGCTTGTGGACTAGACATATTTATTGACTGAACTGTAATTGAATTTTACTGGATGTTTATCTCAAAACACTGTTTCAAAAGAGAAACTAAAACATCTTGGTTTGAAAATAACTCAGTTACACCTTTTCATGAGGCCAAATCCTTCTCCTGAGCTCAGTGGACACTGAATGACTGGGAAATTGCATTTTCCATCAACTATTTGTTGTGCCTTCCTGTTTCATTTTGGAGCTCAGTGCCAGGCTTTCAGCAGCCAGCTCTGTTGAAAATCTCTGTCTCTAAAATCCTGCAGGTCTGATCTCTCTGCACAAATATTGCAAATATGGAGCCCATGACCAGTGCCTGCTCCTAAGCTGGTTTATTTTCTAACCAGTGGAAAAAGATCAATCAAGGTTTGGATTTCAGTCAGGACCGCTCATCATTGATGTGAATGGATTAGAAATCTTTGAACATGCACTGGTGTCGTAAAAGATTCGCTATTTGATGACAATTGAGCATTTTTACTTGCAAATTTTACTTGTAAATAAACCAAACAGTATTTTTTCCTGTCTGTAGCCTTCCTGCCTGCCACAGTGCTCTTCACCCCACTTGCAAAAGAAAGCAGATTTATTTTGGTGTTATTATTTTGATGCAATAAGCAACTCAGTAGTCCTTTTGCCACACTTCTTAGATTTAGATTCTACTTTTAACTTTGTCTAAAAGCCTATAATCCTACACAGTTTCCCAACTGCTAAGCTCACAGATGCCACTTATAAATTTGATGTGAACATTTAGTAATTTTGTAGGTAGCACTTATGGAAATTATTTGCCAGTGCCACATACACAGGCTGTTGTCTGTGTCAACGTTGATCCTGCTACTTGTATTCCCCATCTTTAATAAGAGTTTCAGAGAAGAAAAGGCAAGGAAACAACCCACCTAGAACAGACACAAAGCAGGTTACAATCTCCCTTTTCTTTTCACCTGCTGAGGCCATGCATGTATTTTGTTGTTGTTGTTGTTATAATCATAAATAGTAATAGCAGCATTCATTATGTTTTTATGGGTCTCATCACACCCTAAGTCATTTACCACTTAGTTTTGTCTGTCAAATCTCCCTCAACAGGACAACAGAAGTCCCCACCAAAAAAAACAAAACAAAAACAAAACAAAAAAAAAAAAAAACAACAAAAAAACAAAACGCCAAAACAAAACAAGGGAAGCAAATATTAAAATGTGTAAAAAATGTTCTATATCCTCTTTATTTTCCAAATCCCCAGGTTCTGTAAATAACACAAATCAGTGCCAACATATCAGCTCCTATGGGCTTTTGATGACCTATCTGCAATAGCTCAATAATTCTCTGGCTTGGAGATTTGCATTTTATGGACCTGGAAATGTTTTGCAACACATCAACCCATCATGTAAAGATGGTGTTCTGCAGAAATTTCATTGCAACATGCTGCAAGAGTCCTAAAATTGCAAGCTCCCTCTTTAAAAAGCATTTTAAAATCTCCAAACAAATGTCTTTAATCTTCTAAAGACCTAGAAAGACTGTGGCAAGAAAACTTCCTTTTTATAGTTCAGTATTTCTCAGAGATGAGCTCGAAGTGTTAGCTGAGATAATTATCAGAGAGATTATGTAGATCTTATTATCAAAAGGCTTTGTTTGCTCTCTAGTTACATAATTGCTTAGTGTTTGCATGGTGCTCAGAAAATAGAAAGCACCAGAGAAATACCAAGAGTTATTGATTTAACAGAAAAATAATTCTCCCAAATGGTATTAACTTTTTAAGTTGTCTCTACTGTATTTTGAAGATTTCTGGTTATCTGTAGAGCCCCTCAGGGATGTAACTTTGGCAGCACACGAAATGAGAGTTGTGCCTTACCACTCCTGACTTTGGACTATTTCAGCAGAGCTGTGAAACAGCAGGAAGCAGAGAAAAAAAGGTGCAATATATTGTGTCATCATTTCCTTCACTTCTAGCCTTGTTGGTGACAAAGACCAGCACATTCAGAACACAAAATCAGGATTTATATCTCAAAGCAGTGCCATAATGTAAACAATCAATTTATGGAATCGTTAAATGTTTCAAGAATTGGGTAAAAACACATCAAACAAATATTCCAGACTTGTGTAAGTTTTTCAGCAAAACCCAGACAACCTGAATTCAAATACACCTTGTAACTTTCAACCAAATTCCAGCAAAGACCTTACAAACATGACAAAAGGCATCTTTGAAGTGTAAAGATGAGACCCAAGTATAAACTTGCCATTGGGCAAACTTATGTACCCAGACCACTTAGCCTTGAAAGCAATTTAAAAGATACAGCAACTACATAATTTCAATACCTGTTTTCAAGAATTCCAGGTTCATTTCATGATTATTTACAGCTACTGCAGGGTTGTTTGGTTTTTTTTAGGATGTCAAGAAAGCTTAAAGCAAGTCCACGTTACAAGCATGGCACTGGCCACAGAACTTCCCTTAAACACGAGAAAATCAGATTTTACTTACAGCCAACCATCATCATGGCCACCGAAAAAATCTTCTCCCCGTCAGTGGTCGGTGCTATGTTCCCAAATCCTATGGTTGTAAGGCTTGTCATGGTAAAGTAGAGAGAGGATATGTACAAGGAGTCTTTGCTGGGCCCTCCTTCCCACTGCCCCGAGCCCGTGGTGTTGTAGCGATATGGGGTTCCGATGCTCAGGGCCAGCTGGTAGAGCCAGCTGTCTGTCTTGATGGTGTTGGTCAGCTCATCTATGACCTCGTAGTCCCCAATGCTGTACCAGATGCAGGCCAGCCAGTGGGCCACCAGCCCAAACACACACACCAACAGCACCAGCACAGCAGCACCGTATTCCAGGTAATGGTCCAGCTTCCTGGCCACCCGGCCCAGCCGTAGAAGGCGCACCACTTTTAAGGAGCTGAAGAGGCTACTGATTCCCTGGAAAAGAATAAAAATCATTATTTGATCTGAAATATCTTGCTGGTTAGCACAGAAGGCTGTACAGCAATTCCTGCATCTGCTTAAAATCTTTCAGTGTAATTTTTCAGGCCTCAGATAACAGAAGATCAAACCCTCCTCCCCCTCCAGTGCTTTTGTCCTCGTCAGGCTAAATTGAGTTTGGCACTCACTAGGTGGATAAATTACTTTGTTCAAACTCAGTCTTTCAAAGCAACAGAAGGGTTCTGTAGAATCCAAAGCGGAAACAGCAAGTTTATTACAAAAATGAGTGGTTCAATGCTTCACCAGTCTGAAGTAAATTGGAGACTCTGCTTTGACCTCAGGAAGATAAAAGGAGGTGGAAGAGGAGTCACAGATGGAATACACCAACCCTGTGGAGTCCTCCTGAAGTTTCCCAGAGAAGAGCATTCTATTAAATCCAAGCAGAGGATTGTTATTCTGGCCAAAACGGGGGCACACCTTCTTCAACAACCCCCAACATTAAGAGATGCTCGAGAGAAACATCAGAACGTAATCGCGGTGGGAAACTCAGAGTAATCTGCCTATTGCTACTCTCATCCACCAACCAGGAGCTGAGTAACTTCCTCTAGTACAACACTCTCCACCTCTTACTATCCTTCAAACATAACTCTGGATATTTTGTAATTTAGAAGAAGTCTCACTGACTGAACATGGAATTAAACAAGTTCCACATCACCTTCCTGAGCAAGGGAAATACAGACCACAAGGGATGTGCCTTTGCAAAAAGGGTTACTTTCCTTTCCAGTCAACAGACATTGCAGATATTTTCCTAAATTAAGTGTTGGTGCAGTATTGGGGATTTTTTTTCCTGTCACACAAGATAAACAACATACAAATAAATGGAAATACAAACATTTAGGGAATAAGAGCACAAGGACCATTGGAAAGTTAATAGAAACATCTGAGAGGGGATAAGAAATGTGTATGTCCTTCTCAATGCACAAATGCTTTGGGAGTTTAGAGATGCAGAAAGAGAAAAAAAAAAAATATGCTTTTGATCTACTGCAATCCCATGATATAACTAACTTGTGCATTAAATTAATTAGTGGCTCAAAATAGAAGGTTTGTAAAGGAAAGTTTCTAATATAAAACATTCAGAAGCTGAAGACATTTAATTTAAAGTAGAAATTAAGACATAGAAAGCAATGAGGCAAACATTCCTAGTTACTGTGCCAAGATTAAATTGCCCTTTTCTATGCATCATTATCAAATCAGTCTAGTCAAAACACTGGCTAATTATATTATCAAACAGTAAAAGACTGGAGTTTCTGGAGTTTTCCATATCAGAAAAACATTTATCTCTTTTGCACCTCTGTTTTTTCTTCTTTTGTACCTTCTTTCCCTTTTCCCAACATTTGAAGGGTAACATACATCTGATATTGCTAGATGTAATCTGTTTGGCACACTTCTTGTATGCTTTCCAAATCCTGTTGGAATGTGTTTCAGATCCCCAAATCCTTAATAAATTGAAGCTCTGTATTTGCATTCAAGCTCTCATGATGACTAATACCACAGAGGGAAGTGGAATTTTCCCATTTTGATTTCTGCATTTTGCATTTACACAAGACAGCAGTGTAGTTTATCATCCTTATTTCCATCTAAATGTATATCTACTTATTTGCTTTAGGATATATGACTGGGAGACACTCTGAGCAGCCAACTTTTCCAACAAACTGGGAAGTCCCTTCCAATATTCCTGACACAATAGACTGTGGCCAATGAACACAGAAACAATATCTACATTAAAAAAAAAAGAAAAGAGTGAACTTCAGAGTAGTTTAATAGTTATTCTGCAGCATGTTTCAGTGAGTGACCCTTGATTTTGAAAGTTCACAACTTTCTAAAGAGGGAGAAAACAGCAGGTGTTTTCCTTGTAAGACCAAATGCTGTTGCATCAAGCAGAGATGCATCATTTCTGTTTTAATTAAAGAGTCACCATTCATTTCCAGGATTAAGGCTAGGGAAGCAGTTAGAGACCTGGAATTCAAACTTGGGGGTCCATTTTTTACACACAGTAGTTTAAATTTGTCCCAGTGGCACAGCTTACACTGCACTTTTTACTGCACAAACAACCCTTGAACAGAAGAGTTTACAGTGTGACCTCTGTCCCCCACCCACACTTCATCTTCTCTAAATTACGTGGACAATTTAGCAGTCATACAAATAATACAAAAGTACAGCATTTATTTCAAAGTCTGGGAGAAAGTTTGTGTTGGTTTTTTTTTTTTTCCTAAGCACAGGTAACAACCACATCTCCTATATATAAAACAAAGAGAAATATTTCATTTTAGCTGACATTGAAATCTACTATTTCCAAGGAGTAATTAATTTAAATAAGTTTCACTGTAAATCTTAAAGCCAGCTCAGTTTGACCCCTTAAGGCCAAAAAATCAAGAGATATATTGAACATTCACATTTCACCTCTAATCTTCCAAAATAGAAAGACAACACTGGAAGCTTCAAAAGCCTCTTCCATAAAGCACCACATAGGAAACAGCAACTAAACAAGTGCTAAATGAATATGTGATATATCACATATAGAGTATAGCACACATATATTTTATATATATATATATGTATATGTATCAATCACATATGCACTAAGTACTGGGTAAGTAACTAAGTTGGGTCAGTCTGGTACCTTCATACTTATAAAATTGCCAACAATTAATGCACAACTGTTAAAATGCAAAGCTCTGCCTCAGATTCAGCAAAAATGTCTTTGATAGAAGTTATGTGAAAGACTAACTGCCTTGGATTACGCTTGGGCAATTAAGAAATTCAGTTTTCTAAACTCAATTGACTGCAGGCTGCCTTTAATTTCATTTTTCTTTTAACTGTATTTATGCTCTGTAATGAATACTTTGGAAACCCTCCTACTCCAGAATGAGCATCTGCTCTGACAGAAGTAACTTCAGCACTCAAGGAAAAGAGAGGTGATTAGAAATTGTGAATGGGGCATGTAATCCAGTTTGGCACTGGCATTGTGTAAATTAAGCACATGTTGGATACTGGAGATCCAACCTTCTGGGAGGAGCATTTGTGATTCCATTGCCATTTCAACTGGGCCAACTGTCTGTAACAGCTGCTGGGCTGTGTTCTCTAACTGAGAATATCTCCTTATGTTATCAACCATCCAACCCAGCCCCTTGGGGTTTTGGCTGATGTATTTTATCATGTCCTAATCAGATGAGGACACTCAGCTTGTTCATCATCAATCATCTCAACTGCAGAAATCTTTACACTGAAAAGCCACCTACGCCAAAGCTGCATTTTGGGTGTCAAGTTTGGAACCAAATTTCCATCTGACACACATCATCAATTTAACTATTACAAATGTGAATCACAGGAGTCCTTCCCAGGGACTTCTAAGGCCATTGGATCAGGAGAAAACAAGAGCAGTGGCTCTGAACAAGCCATTTTTGTACCACCATTTCAATTTAGGAGACAGCTGAAGCCATACAAAGGCTGTATACGCTGTCAAATTTATCTAGAAAGATATTTTTGGGGGATGGATGTTTAACTTTGGTATTAAATTAGACATACATGATTAAACAAAGCCCAAGTTGCTTGACACAAGCACCTTGCAAAGTCTGTGTTCTCAAATTCTCTTGATACACTAAGAAGGGAAATTAAATTTGATAGCAGAGGCACAGCTGACGACAGCACTCAGTCTGACATGCAGAGGGACCAATCCTTCCTTTTAAACTACCTGACTCTTGCCATTTCAGACCCTAGATGTTACCACACTGTCAAGCTGCCATCTTCCAGGACAAAGGAAGTGTCTAAGCTGTGTGTCTGCATCCAGCTGAACTTTTCCAGCCACAGGACTGAGACAGATGTTTCCAGAAATTGCCATGCATGCAGTGGGAACAGATCTCTGCACCTCCAGCAAGAACAGGGAGCAAAGTTCTCCTGCACTTCATGAATCCCTGATAAGCCAGGCAATAGGAAGGATGAAGCTGATAAAGTTGTGTTATACAGGGGTCAAGAGCCAAACACGCAAGAGGATGAAGGGAACATCATCACACCAAAGGAAAATTAAGGTTAACACAGGCAGGAAATCATCTGAGTCCACAATGACTCTACCAAAAAACTCCTAAACCAGGAAGAAAGAGTGGAGTCTGTTCTACACTAAAGGAGCAGCAGAATAGCAGATCTGCATGTTTGTAAAATCTGAAAAAGAATAGCTGCTTACTTGCTAACCTAATTAATCTTTTCTGAAGTTGGAAATTATTGCATAAATGTTTTTTTAAAAAGTAAAATAAAAACAAAAACAGCCATTAGTTTCAACCATTGAAATATACAAAATTCTGCTTAAACCTCGAAATTAAATCCCAGTATGCTGAAATGGTAAATCATGCATAACTTTTTCTTTCTACTCGGGAACAATCTGTTTTTAACTCTAGGCACTTTTTCAATTAGATTTCACTCCATGATTTTTTATGTATTTGTTGTTAGCTGTGGGTACACACGCAACAGCAACAACACAAAAAAACAAAATATGCATTTTAAATGTGTTCTAAAACTGAAATATTCCAAGCTTTGAAAATGGGGATCGGTACTGCATCATTAAATGGAAAACACTGTTTCGGGAAAGGTCAGAGGAAAAAAAAGAAAAACTTTTCACTCATTTTTAATGTTCAGCACACGGTGGCTTTGAAGAATTCATGGAGCAGCCAAGAACCAGAGCTATGAAATGTTGGTAGGGCGTGCTGCCACTGCAGTCAAAGGGCGACTGCACCATACACAGATAATAAACTGAATTTAAGCTAGTATCTTTATGCTGGACACAAGCAATTACAGCAAAACTGCCATGAAAGTGATCAGATCCTCAGAGGAACCTGCAGCCAGGGCTCACCTCTGTGCAAGAGCAAAATGGGTTTGTGTGGCTCCAGGCACGCTCCTGGATGCCACAGAAAGCATTCCCACTGCCAGCTGATGGCCAACTGCGATAA